TTGCTGCTATTTTTTACAGGTTCCTTTTTCCTTCATATTAAAGCTCTCCTTTTCTGTCAGTTTTATTTACTTCATTTGTTGTGAAATATTTATACAAGCAGAGATAGCAGATCTATCATTCTGTCCGATGGAAGGATGATAGATAAAGCCTCACAGTGTGTGTGTGTGTGTGTGTGTGTGTGTGTGCGCGTGTGGCTGGACTTCGGCCCATGGCAGTCAGCGTCAGCAGCCTCACAGTGTGCTTTTCATCCAGCCAGCACGATTCAACATGGCCAAAAGAGGTGTTGCACACACACACACTAGACAATGTTCTTCTGTTCACATCTGCACTGAAACAATTTCTTTAGATCTTTACCTCTCTTTCTCTCTCAAACACACACTAACACGAGGCCAGCGCTAGATTCACGACTCTAACTGGCCTTAATTCACAGTAGATCTTCTCATACGACTCAACTCGTCTGACGCAAAACACGTGTCCATTGTTTCCATGTTTTTTTACTCTTCCTCCTTTAGAAAACAGTACTGTGGCTCTACCAGAGCTGTGGGGAATGACGGTATATATTATTAATTGTAACAAATGATCTTGCCCTTTAGTTAGCATTTTTAGGTTCCAAATAAAAGGTCAACAAATGAATGTTTAATATATAAACCATTTTTTACATTAAATTTCCAGAAATAAAATCATTATGTACACTATTACTGTGATATAAAATATAGATATTTTATAGAATAAATTATTATTGGGAGAGGTACGATTTTATATATATATTTTTTAAGAAATGAATACTTTTATTCAGCAAGAAAACATTAAACTGATCAAAAGCGACAGTAAAGATATTTATAATGTTACAAAAGTTATAAATGTTCAAATAAATGCTGCCCTTTTGAACTTTCTAATTATCCAAGGATCCTGAAAAAAAACAATTGTATCATGGTTTCCACAAAAATATTATGCAGACGTTTTCAGAAAATTCAGATTTGTCATCACAGGAAGAAATTATATTTTAAAATGTATTAAAATAGAAAACACTTAATTTAAATTGTAATAATATTTCACAATATGAATGCTTTTTTGATCAAATAAATGCAGCCTTGGTGAGCATAAGAGACTTCTGTCAAACACATAAAAAAACGTACTTAATTATAATATAAAAAAATTATATCTACTATGGTTTGGTATTACTCCCATATTCATTTACTGTGGTATTTACATACCATTTGAAAATTATAATAAAAATTACGATAATAAAAAAATAATCAGTATGTCATAAAAAATAAATGGTATTACTTTCATGGTAATGTAAAAAAAACCTATAGTACTTTTTTGTAAATGCTGTGTATTTTTTGAAAGTGTCTCGACTACTGCATGTGTCCAATTTAAACAAATGTCTGTGTGTGTACAGTATGCATGTGTGAGTGAGTGTGTGTCTGTGGAGGGGAACACCTGAAACATTTCCAAGGTTTCCCAGCAGACCTGAGATTTAGCTTGAACCCCCCTGCCAGTGTGTGTCTGTGTGTGTGTATTTGCTTTTCTCCTGCCGTGTAAAAATAGATGGAAAATTACAAAGTGGCATTCCCTACTGCTCTGGAAGGAAGTGGTCTCACACACACACACACACACTTTTACAGTAAGTGGAGTTGTTTGCAAAGTCCTGGCGATGCAAATTAACACCTATTAAACTCATAACTGATGTTTTTAATATTTCAGCAAATTTAAACATTTTAATAATTCAGCACATGTGGTCTTTTTAATATTTAAATATATTTAGTTTTATGAATAATTTAGTAGCTCAACACTAAGCCAAACATTGGATGACATGAACTAGAGTAATGGGTTGGTAGAACTTCACAGAAACTCATTCTGCACAGATGTGACATAGGCCATAATTCATTTATCAAAGCATAAGGCATAAACGATACTGGAAAAACCTTTTAGACATGCTAAGACAAATCACTATTATTATTGCTCATATGTTGGTTTAAATGGTTTTCAAAACTCACTTCATTTGTGCTACAGACTTGAATGATGTGTCAGATTATGTGGATTAATAAGGAAAGGTGTGCTAAAAAAAAGTATTTGGCAGACGATAAAACAGGTAAAAAAACAAAAGATGAAGGATGGACAAGAGTCATACCATATCACAAGGTGAAGTATTTGATTTTTGGACGCAGCGTTAGAGAACTACAGATGGGCCAACACCCTATTGCAACCAACTAGCAAATTAGCAATGCCCTAGCAACCACACAGTACACCCTTAACAGCATCATAGCAACGCTCTAAAACATTGTGAATACCTTAGCAACCACAGGAATGTCCTGGTAGCCATCCACAATACACTTACCAGCACTACTCACATTTTCCTGAGCCAAAACACAAATTTTATTTAAAAGTAAATACTTTTTAAAAAAATTATTCAAATAATAATTATAATTGTGTGCTTCCTCAATTTTTTTATAACAAGTAAAATATAATCATATTTTTTTATATAATATTATTATAGAAAATATTAATCATATTTTTTATATAAAAAGTAAAATATTATATATATATTAGTCCCAATGGCCGAATCACAGCCATGCTGATATAGAGCATTATCATACTGTACTTGTGTGATATTGCTCATATATATATATATATATATATATATATATATATATATATATATATATATATATATACACACACACATATATATATATATATATGTATATAATGTAAATGAGTGTTTAGTTTAGAAACAATGTAAAAATGTACAGTAATTATATTACATGCTATTAACTATATAAAATAGTAACATTTATAAACGTATAAACGTTTATGACTACCGAATAAAATTACCCCCTCCCCCCCAAAAATTGCCGCTTAAAATATCTTTTCCTCTATAAAGACCAAACAATATATACATCCAAATGGCAGAAAGTTGTGAGAACCCTAGATTCTTCTGCTAGGCATTAAAGATTTTTCTGTCTTCGTTGACTCAGACTTTCTCGGAGGGCCAATCTTGGGGTCCACACTGATGGATGTGATTTTTGGTGTTATTAGAGGGTAAAGCAGGGGGCTCATGGAAAAGGATCAGATCTGGTATCAGCCTGTTCATCATGAAGGATTTGGATCTGAAGAGAGCAAATACTCCATTCAGACGGGAAACGGGAAAGACAGAAACACGGGCATTAGCTTCTGCGAGCGGCCTCTCTCTGTATAAATGTTCTCATATTTTTGGGATTTGTACTACTGCCAGTGGCTTTGTGCTGAATAGTCAAAGGGTTTAAAAATACAATATAGACATAATTATCAACATTAAATGAAAACCATTATCGTGAATGCCAAATGACCAAAACTTTCGGTTGTGAGAGCTTATTAATGTCCTCTTACTCATCCAGGCTCGGGTTCTGGTGGTTTCAGAGTGCATAAGCTGTACTGAGTGTCTCTTTGGCTCGACCAAATGAGGAACTGAACCAAAACTGCAGAAAAGAGCAGAGACCTCAGCTTGTCTTGTCCAAACATTAGAGATTCAGTGTGTTATTATAAGACAGCAAAGTGCAGAATAATCAGTTTATGTTTAGTCTTCTTCTGTGAGAGACCTGGATTTGAACATTTGTCGAAATGTTTTGCAACTTTGAGAGTTTGCAGGAACTTCTCTGCAAAACATTTAGGATTCCTGTCATATAAAGGTCAACGCTTGTTCTTTTTGTGACAATGATCATCACAATTTCAATAACAGTCATGACAGCCATGGTGATGGGTCCTCCCTTAAGTACTGTAGACTACTACGCCTGTAAAAGAAATTCCCATTTAAAAGTCCCAGCGCTTTACAGTGCAGCTGATTTACATTTTTGTATAGTGTGAGGAATGCTCATGTTAGCTTCCAAAGTAAGTAGGAAGAAGGAATGTACAGCTAAAGCCTCAGCTGTGTCATCCTGAGGTAAAACACTGAGCCATTTATACGGCCAGATAATATGGAAACTAATCTTGCTTATTTTCATGCTCATAAAAGTGCTATTTGACTAGTAAAATTAGTAAACTAGTAAAACCTGGTAAAAATCTATAATTAATGAATGAACAAGTCTGAATATTTGCATTAAAGGGATTAAGGGAAACATTTTTTAAAAACAAAACTTGCTGTGGCCAAGTGGTTGCAGCACATGCTTTGACACATTAAGCCTGCTCACGTGGGCAATGAGAGTTTTAGTCTAGCTTGCAACATCTTTCATTTTTGTTTCTCCTCCTGCTCTTCCTTTCCTGTCCTTTCTCTATAATGGTCATAAAAAGAATAAAAAATGGTCAAAAATAAAATACAATAATACAAATAAAATATAAACAATAATAAAATATTAACATATTAAAAATAAAACAATAAAAGGTAAGAAATAAAATGTAATATATATATATAACATTTTATTTTTAGTATTTTTATTTAATTTTTTATAATTTTTGACATTTATTGTTTTATATAATTTCATTTTTATTTTTAGTGTTTTTTTTTGTTTTTTTTAATAATTTTTGACATTTATTGTTTTATAGAAAAATAGAAAAATAGAAATAGAAAAAAAAATAAAAATAAAAAATAAAGATAAAAAAGAACAGAAACATTTTAAATAAAAAAGGTAAACAATAAAAATACAATTATAAACATAATCATCTGACCAACTATGGGCATACTAATGTGGCTGATGATAGTTCTAGACCAGCTTGCCAAATTTTCCAGTCCGGCCTCTCCTCAACTTTTCCTGTCTTTTCTCTGCTATGGTTATAAAAAATTGAAAGTCCCCCCCAAAAAGTAAATAAATAAATCAAAATAAATAATTACATTTTACATTATAAAATAAAATTAAAATAATACAATCTAAATAATACAATTAAAACGAATAATAATCAATACAATCATGTGACTAAAAGTGGACATATTCAGTTATGAAAGATCAGACAGACAGACAGATTTCAACCAGAAACCAAATCTATCTACAGTATATACCTGAAATACCTGCAAAAGGTTTCTTACCTTCAGTGAGTCAAAGCACGCGATGACTCTCCCGTTCTCCACCTGGCAGCTCTTGGCAGGATGCGCAAACTTGCACTCAGCATCGGAGCGAGCGCACGTTCCCCGTTGGAACTCTCGACACACCTCCAGCGTCAGCCATTTCGTGTCCCGCATGTGAGCCATATTCATCGCCATCTCAACACGCTTTAGCGGCAAGCAAACTTAAATTCCTTAAAATCCCAAAGTGCTTTGGGTGTGCTTGTGTTTGTCCTTTTAAGAATGTTCCTCTCCTTCTTAGATCATTAAGCTTCTCTTTCCTTGTGGATGCACACCAGGCCAAGCAAAATGGACAAAAAATGTTGCTGCTAGGAAAAAGTGAACTGCAGTAATGGATCCCAAAGCAAAAAATCCTTGAATCTGATTGGCTGATTCAATAGTGCCCACTTCAGCTCTGTCTGTTTGTATAGGGGTTGTTCGGGGTCACAGAGATTGTGGGGTTGTACGGGCAGTTCTTTCACTGATGTGGGCAGCAAGCAGGCAGGAAAGCTGAGGCTGGTACTATAAGCAGGTCCAAGCAGCGGCAGACGCAAGAGAGGGCACGATACTCAGTACCCACCTGCAACAGAGAAAATGACAGAACAGCTTTGAAAGACCTTCCTAAAGGGCTCTTCAGCAAAGATTTTCATCAAGCGAGTCTGTGATTAGATCATTTCACTGTGGAAGAAGTTATGCACCTTTAACTCTTCGCAGAAATCGAACCAAACTCAATTAGAAGCACTTTTGACTGCCTAAATTAAAAAACAACAACAACAAAAAAACAACATATTTTGGACAAGAGCTGGACATGCAAACACAACATTTTAGCTTTCAGTTCACTGGTATGTATGTTTGTATGTGCAAATATATATATATATACACACACACACACACACACATACACACACACACACACACACACACACATATATGTGTATATATATATATATGTGTGTGTGTGTGTGTGTGTAGTTATTAAAATTGAATTTGTAATATATGTATAATAATAAAAATGATAAAATACTAATAAAATATATGCATATGTATGTTTTAATTTAATGAATCAATTTGTTTACATGTATGTATTTATTTTTAAATTAAATTTTTGAATTTAAATTAAATAATTCATTATATAAAGTTTATATATTTTATGAGCTTAAAAAAATCTCAAATAATCCACCTAATAAAGTATTAAATTGTACATACAAACTAAAAATAAATATATTCATATATAAATATACTGTATATCTAATGAATTTAGGAAAAGGTGCAAAGGAAATGGTTTTAAAACGTTTAAAAGTCTGGGTACTGAAATTATGGCAAATTTATATCCAACACATTAAATTGAACACATTCAAAAATCAAATAAAAAATTCAAGCTTTATAAGGATATCATTTATCCTTCAAAACTACGTTTTTTTCCCCCTAACTGAAGAATCACCCATATAGTGTATAATGCTTATCATTTCTTTCAAAATATGTTGCATTATGCAACAATAAGCATTTCAAAATATATCATGCTAAATTATCATCACATGAACTCCTCATCATGAGGCTATCATATGACCTCTGTTTACTTCAACAAGCAATGTCCAGTTATCATCTCAGAAATAAACTTATTATAAAGTTGGGTACACTGCAATATGAGACTCAGTATTCAATGCATATTATAATGTATACTGCATATTTTTTCAGATGTGGTAGATTATCCAGGTATTCTACGCATACAGAAAATGTACAATTCAATGGACTTGTACTAATCTTGCATACTATTTAGGACAGACAGCAAGAGTAGAATTGGAACGCAGCCCATCCTCCACTTTATCACACTATCTCTCCGTCACTCGCCCTCGCTCTGTTTCTCCCTCATTCTCTATTAGACTCTCACCAGCTGCATAAATCCTTCACACCCCTAAAAATGCCAGAAATGCACTGAAGTCTGCAGAATACTGTCAGTCCGAGCAAATAAAACATTGTCACACACATTCCTGGACTAACACACACCTCACTGACGCACACACACACTGGGCTCTTTCTTATACAAACAAACACACACAAAGCAGCCCTTCACAATCTGAAGTTCAGTGCAGGTAGAGGAAAACCTACCCAAATAGCACATCACAGCTACAGCTAAGAGCTGTGACATAAGATTTAACAGAGACTGAGAAGGTGGAAAGTGAACGGCGAGGTCATTTCCTATTTCTCTAAAGTCTTGCGCGACTCACGGTGAGCTAATCATAGGAAGAGATGTAGCAATGTTCCCGGCCGCATGCCAGTTAAGAGCAGCAGCCCAGTCTGAGAAAGGGTGAGAAACAACACCTTTACAAAAAAATAACTTATAAGACACAGTTACTCCAGTTATTGTTAATAGAACTATGCTAGCTTGGTATTAGCCATCAGTTTCATTAAAAAAGAAAATAAATTGACAGAAATTACAAAGTTATTCAAAGTTTCTAACACAATGAATCATATTTAGAGACCAGAATATCACTGAGACTTGAGAGTGGCCTCTTTTGACTTGGACCAGTAAGAAACCACCTATCAACCAATCAGAGCCCTAGTAGCCATCCACAACAAACTGCTAAAAACCAGTCTCAACTCTTTAGTAACTGCAAAGCAACGCCCAGACATTGGGGCAACAAGGTCTGCAATCTTAAAAATCTTAAAAATTGAATTAGCATTCTTCAGTAGTAAAAACAAACAAACAAACAAAAAAAATGTTTCATAATATAATATAATATAAATACATGTTAAAACAAATAATAAATGAAATAGAATTATATTTATATGAGTATTTTTTATTTATAATATATTACAGAATTACAAATATTTATAATTTAATATTTAATGCATTATAAATAAATAGAAACAAATAATAAAGTTAAATATATAATTATAATTAAATAGTTTATAATAACTATTTATAATAATTTATTGCAATAATTTAAATAGTTTAGAATAAAAAAAAATACATAATACATACACGGTAAATCAAATAATGCATTCAATGAAATATAAATGTTTATTATTCTATGTATTTGATTATTTTTAAACATGTATTAATTTATAGTATATTATAAATAAATAAATGAAAACAATACAATTAAATATATCATTATAATTCAATAGTTTACAATGAATAAATAAAAACAACCTTGGTTCTTTAGCAGAAATATGGTTATCATGGTAAATGTTTGTAAGAGCACTATACTACCTTGGTCAAGCACACTATAAAACAAAAACAAACACATATGTACACACAAAGTGCTTTAAAAGACACAAATGTCCACAAAAACACACACACACACACACACAGACACACAGAGCTCTGTTTATGGAATGACATATTTTAATCTGATAAGACTTTCAGTGTGGAGGCAAACTGGATCCTGGGAATGCTGAATACTCAAAACAGGCTAAATGATTTTGTGAAATGAAAAGAAAGTGATTGCTCTGGATAATGTGGCCTTGCAGAGTGATTCTGATCTCGCATTAAACAGGCTCATGCCTGCGTTATCTGTGTTTACTGAGAAGTGGAATAATCACCGTGACAATTAAAGCAAATTCATGCTCAGACTTGGATTCTACTTTAAGATCCTCGTCTTCACTTGAACATGATGCTGTTTCTTTGGTTCCTCTTTTTTCAGTTAAATGATTTGGCTATTATGTCGCTGTACATCTCCCACGATCCTTAGCAGTGGAATAACAATTCTTAGAAGTTGCTGCAAGGTCAAACAAGGAAAGAAAATACAGTAAGAACGATAGCAAGGGAGAGAGAGAATGATCTGGAAGTGTGCCAATCAAAGCCCATTAAAAAGACAAACATTTTTGCCACTGGGAGGAGAACTGGATGTTATGTTCTCTTTTCAGAAATGGAAACTATTTCACATGAATGAGATATTAAGCGTTTCATTCTTTTTGCACTTAGGCTTATGGCTTTATTTACGTCTGTACTGATGTCTAATATGCTCCTGCCAGTGAGAAATGCTTGATTGAACATTTGATTTCCTGTTTGTAATTTGACAGCCGTGCAATATTAAAAGCCAGCTTTTTAAATGCAGGAATTATAACGAAAGGTAAAAATCAGTCTAAGTTTAGACTGTGTCTAGGAAACATGAAAACAAATTCTCCCTGCATAAAGCTTTGACACTTTAAATATGCAGAGTATTAATAATAAAAAAAAAATTGTGTTTGATGGGATATGGGAAATTGTTACCATTTAAGGCTGTAAAAGTGTCATTAATGAGCCACGTCAACAATTTTATAAATAGAAGGATACAGAACTACAAAACTAACCAAGAAGATTTTAACAGTATGATGTCATAGAACCTTTGTAAGTTCCAAAAAGAACTTTATGTAGTTCGTTATATATGATATTTATATAATATAATAGATATAGATCAGTGTATTTAAATCTTCTGTTGCTTTAAAGAACCCAGAAACCTGACCTGAACATAAAGAACTTCTTCAAATCTCCAATGAACCATATAGCAACCTAATAATCTTATAAGAACCTTATACACCCATAAATGAAGGTTATGTGATGCACATCACCATAATGTCGATGATCAAACCATAGCATTAAACTTTCAAGAACAAATCTGTCAGTTTATTTCAGAAAAATCCTCAAAACCACACAATTACAACCATGCAAGAACATTTTGAAGAACGTGGGTAACCAAGTAGTTGACGGTAGCCATTGACTTCCATAGTATTTCTTTCCATGCTATGGAAGTCCAGGGCTACAGTCAACTATTTGGTAAACCATATTCTTCAAAGCATCTTTTGGGCTCAACAGAAGAAAGAAACTTGAACAAGTTTGGAACGACATGAGGGAGAGTAAATAGGATTTTCATTATAGGGCATACCTTGAGAATTTTTCAGAACTTATCAGATAGTCGGAGACAAAGAATGGATTTTTTTGATGTCACTATGCAATTCAGAACCAAAATGCTTCTGATCTGGAATCAGGCACCATGTGGAGGCTCTAAAATGCGGATTGCAATTGCTGCAATTCAGCTGAACCCAAATCAGCGTATTTTTCTGGCATTAAAGTCCCCATGAAATCAAAATTAAAGTTTTTTTGGGTGTTACATTTACATTTATTCATTTAGCAGACGCTTTTATCCAAAGCGACTTACAAATGGAGACAATAAAAGCAGTCAAAACTAACAAAAGAGCAACAATATATAAGTGCAAATGACAAGTCTCGGTTAGCTTAATATATATTATACACACACACACACACACACACACACACACACAAAGAAAAACAAGTAGATAGAATAGAAAAAAAATAGAAAGCTAGTGTTTGTTTGAATTAGTATTTTCTGTACAGTGAATGGCACGTAGTGCACTATATAAGGGACAGGGAACGATTCAAAAAGTGTAAATATGCTTCGCGCTGTGTCACGCTAATCACCGCACCGCACACACACTCTGCTCCGGTCCAGAGACACGATAGCACGGAGCGGATCACATGCGCACACAAAATGTATCGGAGCTATTTAAATTCTACACAGAATGCTATATTTTATAGCAATATGGATGAGATTGTGGCTGGCATACCCTGTCAAATGCGGCTTTACGGAGCTCAACGGCTCTGAACGGCTCTAGCCCAAGCTGTGATATAAACGAACGCTATTGGCTATTTTAAAAAGGGGCGGGGCTGCTTGATATGTCCCGCCCTGTCTTCCTGTTTCAGTTAAAATGACGTCAACACAGAGTAACGCTGCGTGTTTTCTATGCATTAAAGGGGACCTTTAATTCATGAAGGAATTGGCCTGAATCTGGGTGAAGTGCATGATCAGAAAGGTGTGCA